GACAGTCAGCCTTAAAACATTACCCAACAGATAGGGAGGTAGAAAAAGCCCATATAATATGAAGCACTCAGTACAAGAGACAGACCATTTCCCATACAAACCCCAATTTAGTTAAAACCAGAATGAATTCTACCATCATATAGAGATTCAGCAACCACTTTGCATTATATATATCATATTTTCTTTAAAAACATTAACCAGTGTTAATGTTAGTGAATATGCAAACAGCATTCCTATTAAAAATGAGGAGAACCAGAGCACCAGGCAGATAAACCCTGGGCAGTTCCCGGCTTCAAGGTGGGGCCAGTGATGGAGGCCACAGGACAGGGCCCACACGAGTCATACCATAAACTGGAGCACAAAAATGAACCAATTCCATACACTCCTCAAATAAATATTGCGACAAATAAATACTGACACAGTGGTGAGGTCAGCAAAACACAGCACAGGAACAAACGCCTGGAGAAAGCAAACAAATACTTTTGAAATCTGCTTCAAGGCTAAGAGCAACACATCGCTTAGCTAAAGCCTGAGGTTAGGAGGCCAAGTATAGCGGGATCTGTGCTGGAAGACTTGGACTGCACCCTCCTTTGGGGATCGCCGCAGGTCAGGTCAGGTAGGACACAGGGCAGACAAAAGCACGAAGCTCACAGGAAGCTGGGGTACAAGTGAGGGGGCTCTGGAGAGAGAAGTGGCCAGGGCAGGAAAGAAAGAGGAAAGAGGCTGGGCAGGGAAGGAAGCAAAGAGAAAAGCAGGGGGCAGATAAATAAGGTGGGAAAACCAGGGCTAAACAAAGAGAAAGGCAAAAAAAAGGATAATTCAAGCCATTTTGTTAATGTGTAACAAGGCAAAACCTTCCTTTGAAAATGAAAAGAAATTAAGGAAAAAAATACCAGCTCAGTTGTTCTTTGCAGGCATTCACTACAAACTGCCAAAATGCAAATATATTCCCATGCTTGGTGTGCAATCAGTGTTTTCCTCTGCAATATTTAATCTCATTTATCAAGCTTCTTAGTACAAATTAAGTTACAAGGTAATAAATTAGATTGAAAACACAGCTTGTTTCATTGTTTTAATTTTGCACTGTAAGCATATTCACCCTAATTTAACAATTAGCTAATCAAAAACCATGAAGTGTTTATGTAGCTTGGCTTTTTGTCATTCAAATTCCTCTCCTGGATCATTGCGAATACATCAGCCAGTGGAGTCCCAGCTACAATTTCAAAAGCCTGGCAGAAAACGCATGTAGGGAAGGAAGAGGGGACCATGCAGAAACCACAATGTGGTGCTGGGGTTTGAAAAAGGAAAGGAGGACAACGGAAACCGCTGCTTATTTCCAGATAAATAGACCAACTGCCTAAGGGACTGCAGTCTGTTCCTCCTGGGATGCTTTCTAGGAGGACTTCTGCAGAAGCCACTGTTTTACAAGGCTAGAGCAGTGTGGATGGGCCACTTTTGAACCCAGAGGAAGCTGCAGCTGCTCTCTGTAGGTTCAGAAGGTTTTCCCATGACGTGGGGGATGTATTGAAGGCGATGAGCACAGAGGGAGTCCCTCAAGTGGCACATTGCTGCCTGATGGGAAAAATGACAGAACTGGTGGAGGTTTTTTGTTTGGAGGGTTTTTTTTTTAATTGCTGTTAACTGGGAAGAATTGCTCTTTACAGAAAAAATAATTTCTTTTAATTTATAAGAAATAATTTGGATACAACAAGTTACTATCTTTTGCTTAAGTTTATATCTACATATTCTGCAGTTAATGTCCTTCCATGTTCTGGGGGGTTTTGATCAAAAAGATGATTAGGGAAACTGCATACCTAGGAGCCTATTCTCCAGTTTTATGAAGGTGGGGGTTTGAGGTGGGATTTTTTTCTGTTTGGGATGTTCATTTTTTGGGTTTGTTTCTATATATATGTATATATATAGATGTATATATATATACATATTTGCTTGTTTTAAAACTTCTAATTTCTTTTCAGTAAATTGAAGTTTGGAGTTATTTTCAGTGAAGTTCTTGCTTAGCTGAGCAAGCCAACATTTCCTGACCACCATGGGGAGGAGGTGAAGACCAGCCCCTAACGACACCAAGCATGCACCTGCAGTCTGAATGCTGGC